GTTAGAACAGCAATCTCAGGATTGAGACAGGATGTGGGACTGAGGATCCTAGTGGCAGCTGTGGACCTCACCAGCTGCGTGACCCAGGCCACGTTCCTTCCCTTCCTGGGCCTCAGTTTCCTCATCAATACCAAAAGAAGATAGAAGTTTGACTCTTGAGTCCCAGCTCTGCCTAGGCCCCAGGTACCCTGCACTCTACTCATTGCTCTTGGGAGCCGCCCAAGCTCTGACCGTCCCCACTGCCACCCCTGAGATAGATAAGGATGGGCCCCTCTCACTTCTGCCCCTTCTTCCCTCCCAGGCCATTCGCGCCATTAACCCCTGCAGCGATACCGCCATGACTGCAGAGGAGTTCACCGATACAGTGTTCTCCAAGATTGACGTCAACGGGGATGGTGAGCGGGCCGAGGAGGGGCTCCCCAGGGGAGGGGTCACCATGGATGTGGGGTCATGAGGGGTGGAAGGTCACTAGAGGAGAGGGGAAGGAGGGAGGAGGAGGCCCAAAGGTCCCCGGGCTAGTCACCTCCTCCACCTGCCCCAGCCACAAAGTTGGCTTTTAGGGGCCCCTGGACCAGAATCTGGGCTCTGGGTGCCTCTGCCTGCTGCACCTGCAGGTCGCCTCTCCTCGCCGGGGCTCTGTCCCTGCCCTGGCAGGAACCCGGTTCTGTGCTCTGGACTGCAGAAATGAACACCCTCCTCCCCTGATTCCCTTTCTCTCTACCCCAGGGGAACTCTCCCTGGAAGAGTTTATAGAGGGCGTCCAGAAGGACCAGATGCTTCTGGACACACTGACACGAAGCTTGGACCTTACCCGCATTGTGCGCAGGCTCCAGAATGGCGAGCAAGATGAGGAGGGGGCTGACAAGGAGGCCGCTGAGGCAGCCGGCTGAGCACACCGCCCAGCTGCTTCTGCACTAGCGGGTGGGGTGGTATGGTGGTGACTGGTGGTGTTGCTCTTGTCTTAACCCTAGATAGAATCTACTAAACTCAGAGGCTTAGCTCGCCTCTTTGGGGTACATGGTGGCAGCAGAGAGGCAGCAGTGGGAGGCCAGAGCCAGGAACAGTGAAGGATGGTTCCTGGCCCCTCTGAGTGACAGCTGACTGCAGCACTCCCTGCTGGGGGCACTGTTCAGCATCCCTCTGCTGTCTGGTGACCCCCTAGCCCTTCTGGCTCCTCTCCCAGTTTTTCCCAGCTTTCTCCACTGAGCTTCTCCATGCTCTTCTGGATGTGGACTCTCTGAGGCAGAGCTGAACTTTCCCAGGCCTCTTACGGAATCCTGCAGATCCGGTGGCTGCAGCTTCAATCTCAGTGCTGCAATCACACATCCATTCTGCCCCGGGGACCCTGGAGCCTACTTGTGTGCTTTGCATTTGATTCACGCCTCCCTTCAACAAGCATTTACTGAGCGCCTACTATGTACTAATGCTAGATGTTAGATGTACAGAGAAGACAGTTTTCATCCTCAAGGAACTCATAGGCTAATGGTGAGACCTACAGACAAACATCATTATAATAAAACATGCTAAGAGAACTTATGAACAGATTTCTGTAGGAGACACCTATAGGGCGTCTACTCAGAGAAGCATCACAGAGGTGGCGTTTGACTTTAACACGAAAGAGTGCTTTGGGCTGAATGTGGAGAGAAGTGATGCATGTGGGGTGGTTGGAGGTGCATCTCTGTGATTATGTGTCACATGTGGGGGCTGTGTGATGTGGACAGGAGCATTCTTAGGTGCAAATTTGGGGTATCCCTTGGAATTTAAATTTTACCAAATTTAAAACAGTAAGAATCACCATATTGTTTTTAGGGAGTACCTCCTAGGTCCCCCAGTAAGGGAAAACAAGCAAACCACAGCTCCTTCAAGAGATTTATAATCCTACTAGCAAGATAAGGATGGGATGTTTTGCCAGTGTGGTGGTAAATGCCTGTAATCCCCAGTACTCAGGAGGCTGAGGTGGGAGGACGCTGAGCCGAGGGGTCAAGACAACCCAGGCAACACAGTGAAACCCCTCTTCAAAAAGGAAAAAGGGGGCTGGAGCGGTGGCTCATGCCTGTAATCCCAGCCACTTTGGAGGCCGAGGTGGGCAGATCACCTGAGGTCAGGAGCTCGAGACCAGCCTGGCCAACGTGGGTGAAACCCCATCTCCACTAAAATACAAAAATTAGCTGGATATGGTGGCGGGCACCTGTAATCCCAGCTACTTGGGAGGCAGGAGAATTGTTGAACCCGGGAGCAGAGGTTGCAGTGAGCCGAGATCACACCATTGCATCCACCTGGACAACAGAGCGAGAATCCGTCTCAGAAAAACAAAACAAAACAAAACAAACAAAAAAAAATAAATAAAAAGAAAAAAAGGTGGAATATTTAGATGACAATGTAGATCTGAATCTGAATGCATGTGCATGCATTCTCTGGAAGGTTTGGTGTTGGCCAAAACTGAAAGAGGGTGGTGGTTCGCAGAAAATCCTCATTTCTTGAGAAGAAATCCATATTTTTTCAGAAGAGCCTGCCAAAGTCCCTCATACTTCCCCTCCTTGGTGACATATGGTGCTCCATGGCTCCCACAGATCTGCGACTCATTGCTCATGCAAATAACTCTTCCTGGTCTAACCTAAATCCCTCTTACTGCAGTGACACCTAATACCCAGTTGGGAGTGGGACAGTCTGTTACAGGTGGGCCCCATCCGCATCTTTGCACATCTCAACTTTAAGAATACCCAACCAGGCTGGGCGCAGTGGCTCACGCCTGTAATCCCCATTTGCGAGGCCTGAGGTGGGCGAATCACAAGGTCAGTAGATCGAGACCATCCTGCTAACACGGTGAAACCCGTCTCTACTAAATAGACAAAAAATTAGCCAGCGTGGTACGGGTTTGTGTGGTCCCAGCTGCTCTGGAGGCTGAGGCAGGAGAATGGTGTGAATCTGGGAGGAGAGCTTGGCAAGATCGCGCCACTGAGCTCGGCCACTTCGCCCTCCCAGCTTGGAGGCCTACCAGGAGCGAGAATCCGTCTCAGAAAAATCAAAACAAAACAAAACAACAGCAACGGAAAAACCAACTCAGAGATCTATCTCTACCTGTCCAAGGCAGGTTTTCTTGGTTCTGGTCCCTGAATTACAGCTACCTGGTTGCTGCAAGAACCTGAGGAGACGCAGAGGCTAGAGCAGTTGTGACCAGTTTTTCAAAGATGCTCTTTCTTCTGGGCTTTGAGTCTTACTTCAGCTGGGTGTGGGGGGAGGTGTGGGGAGTAAATGAAAATTCAGGAGAGGAAGCCAGGCATGGTGGCTTAACGCCTGTAATACCAGAACTTTGGGATGGGTGCCTGAGGTGAGTGGATCACTTGAGCACAGAAATTTGTGACCAGCCTGCCCAACTTGGTAAAACCCTGTCTTTACAAAAAAAATAGAAAAATTAGCTGGCCTTGGTGGTGTGCACCTGTGGTCCCAGCTACCCAGGAGGCTGAGGTGGGAGGATCGCTTGAGCCTGGGAGGCGGAGGTTGCAATGAGCCAAGATTGCGCCACTGCACTCCAGCCTGGATAACAGAGCAGATTCTGTCTCCAATAATAAATACATAAATACATTCAGGAGTGGGAGAGAGAAAATGAGGGGAAAAATAAGAAAATACCAAGTCAGAGAGTGCCCCACTGGGCGGATGAGGGGGTGCATTTTGCTCATGTCCTGTCCACCACTTGGACCTCCCCAGACAAGGAAGTCAGCCAGGGACCGAGCAACAGACATTGGAAGGAAGGTAGAGGTAGAAGTCGTTCTGTCTGAACGTTGGTTCAGACAGAAAGAAAAAGGGATTGACATTTCTGCTCCTTTGGCTGGCTGCCTGTCGGGAAATCCTGAAGGTCAGAGTTGGGAAGGTGTCTGCATGTAATTAGGACATCCCTCAATGTCATTCACATACCTTCTTCATAATTTGGGGCATATGTGTGTCCCACCTGGATACCACACACACCACACACACACACATAATATATATATATTTTTTTTTGAGATGGAGTTTCACTCTTGTTGCCCAAGCTGGAGTGCAATGGGGCGATCTTGGCTCACCGCTACCTCCGCCTCAAGGGTTCAAGCGATTTTCCTGCCTCAGCCTCCCAAGTAGCTGGGATTAGAGGCGCATGCCACCACACCTGGCTCATTTTGTAGCTTAGTAGAGAGGGGTTTCACCAAGTTGGTCAGGCTGGTCTCAAACTCCTGACCTCAGGTGATCCGCCCACCTCGTCCTCCCAAAGTGCTGGGATTATAGGCATGAGCCACCCCACCTGGCCCGCTTGCTTTGCTTTGCTTTTCTCTTTCTTTCTTCTGTCTTTCCCCCTCTCCCTCCCTCCCTCCCTCCCTCCCTCCCTTCCTTCCTTCCTTCCTTTCCCTTTCTCTTTCTTTCTTTTTTTTTTTGATGGAATTTCATACTTGTTACCCAGGCTGGAGTGCAATAGCGCGATTTTGGCTCACTGGCACACCTCCAACTCCTGGGTTCAAGTGATTTTCCTGCCTCGGCCTCACGAGTAGCTGGGATTACAGGCACCTGCCGCTGCGCCCAGCTAATTTTTTTTTTTTTTTTTTTGTATTTTTAGTAGAGACGGGGGTTTCACCATGTTGGTCCAGGCTGGTCTTGAACTCCTCACCTCAGGTGATCCACCCACCTCGGCCTCCCAAAGTCCTGGGATTACAGGTGTGAGCGCTGTGCCTGGCCCAATGTTTTCTAATCAATTATTTTTTTACCAAATTGGTGTCTAAAGGAAATTTTATATGAATATCATATGAAATAGCACGCTATGAAGTCGCAGGTTTGAATAGGTTAGTTTTATTTTTTATACACCAACATACAACCTATCTATTCAAGATAAAGCAAATGTTTTTTCCAGGTCTCACTTTAAACTGTCTTATAAGAGTAACAGTGACCCAGGACCGCTGGTTTTCAGTTTGCTTTTTTCAGGGTGCCTCCAGTTCCAGAGGGTACTCAGACCCCCTTTCACCAGAGAGACCCCTTTTAATCTAGTTTCTATACTGGAGTTACACATAAGAGTTTATATAACAAACAAAAAAAAATTCCACATTAAAAATATAATAATCCAAACTGGTTGCCTAGTCCACCTGCTCACCGTGCCCCTGAGACATAACTGAGGTTAGGGAGAAGTGGCTGTCTGGGTCACACAGCCATTAGAAGCAAAGTCCGGGCCCATAACCCCAGTCAGCAGGCCCCCCAATTCTCGCCAGAGATAGACAGAAGTTTTCTTCCCATCCTTTAAAGGAGAAACCATTCAGCTTATGGCTGGGAGTTGTGGAAGGTCCATAGTGGGGGATGTGGATGGAAAGGGAGGATTGTTGGGGGAATGGTGGGTTGGCGCACGGGGTCCAGAGCAGCGCCCCAGGCAGAGCTGAACAGCCCCTTTAAGCACCAGCCGACCCTTCCAAAAGGCCAGAAAGACCACAGCCTGCAGGATTTGCTACCATTTTTTGTTGCCCACCACTGTGAGGATGCCTTGGGGAGAAGAGCCAGGGTCCTCTCCCATTAACGCCCTCCAGCATCTGGCAGGTTTAAAGATTATCGCCGCCCCTGCTTCCCAACACTCCCTGCCTTTTTCTTCAGTCCTCAACACCCCTACCACCCCTGCCTCCTACCAGTCTTTGTGTTCTCATTTCTATTTGGTTCTGTGGGCCCTCACCCCTCATTGGCTCCTGCTTCCAACTGAGAACACCTAGAAACCGTGGGAGCCCACAACCACCAAGCCAGGCATAGTTCTCCCGGAACAGCTGAACTGGGAAATAGTAACCAGTTCCCTTCACCATCCCAGGGAATCCTCCAAAATGGACTCATGCCCTGTTGGCCCACTTCAGACCCAGCAGCCCGTCCCCATCCCCACTCAGCCCTGCACAGGGGGTGCCAGGAAGTCCACACCAGGGGACGAGTGGGCATGAAGCCAGGCTGAGCCAGGGACCCTTCCACTACCCTGGAAACCTGGGTGAGCCTGGAGTCATGCAGGGGACCCAGACCCCTCAGAACATGGCACTTTCCGTCCTCTGTGAGCGACGCCAGCTTGCTGGGATTCATGTCCATCTGCAGCATCTTCATCACCCATTTGTCCCGACGGCACCTTCAACAAACTCGTTCAGAGACAGCTGGCCTGAGCAAGGGGGAGGAGAGGCGGTCATGGCAGAAGAAGGGGAGACCTGAGTCTGGGGCAGGAGGGGAGACCTCACTCCCAGGATGCGCCTACACCTCTTATGCCAACTATCCTGCAGTCGTCAGGCCCCAAGCTTGAGGGCTTGTCAGGTGTCTGAATCTCCAGGAGTCTCCTGCCACCTTTAAGGGCTTTCTAGGCTGGGTGCGGTGGCTCACGTCTGTAATCCCAGCACTCTAGGAGGCCGACGACGGTTGGATCATGAAGTCAGGAGATAGAGACCATCCTGGCTAACACGGTGAAACCCGTCTCCTACTAAAAATACAAAAAGATTAGCTGAGCGTGGGTGGTGGGCGCCTGTATTCCCAGCTACTGGGGAGGCTGAGGCAGGAGAATAGCGTG